ATAAGGACTCAGTCGCGAAGTGACATGAACTTGCTCCAAACAGACACAAAATTTTATCTCAGAGACTTTTTTTTAAAAAAAAAATCATTCCACATACATTTTTTTAAGTAGATCCGAACATCAAGTAGATAAGCTGCTGACTTAAATAAAGCAGGTTTACGTTTACGTAGCTAAATTTTGCCAAAATGAATAATTTTAAGATCGTCTCAGACTAAATATAAACAAAATTTATTCCTCTGTTTTCAAATTTTACTGTGGACACAGATTACACTGAACGACGTGACAGCCCATTCCCATGGCAACTGCTTTCTGTCCAAAATTTTGCCACAATATCATTTACGAGGACCCGAACCAGGGACCTTCCTCCCTGTAACCTCAGTGTGACAGAAAACTCTAAATTATCAGTCGTTTCTACAGTTTTCTGATCAAATTTGAACAAACGTTGCACGAACATGGAATTGAAGTCAATTCCGAGTTCAAACACCAGAGGACCATCCAACCAAATACCTGTTTTGGGCATTCGTTCTTAGCCAGCAGGTTATGGCAAGATCTCAGCTACGGTGAAACTATTTCAGAATTATGAATCAGTTTCATTTTTACAGAAGAAATGAGTTGCTCTTGGTTGTTTGGCATTGCAACGTATAAACGTAAAGACTTTTACAACTACAAAAATTTAGCCTCTGAGGTTAACCCCGAGTTAACTCAGCCCTATTCAGAAAACCTCGAACCCCGACCCCCATAGTTCACTCATCCACAACACAGACATCATTTAACACTTCTTATTCTGAAATTCCACCCCGAAAAACAGATCATATGTGTTTCAGAGGCGTGTCAAACGGGAGTCCAACCCTCGCTGACCTGCGCACTGCGTCTGGTGGGTGGAGAAAAGTCGCTTTCTCTGACGTCACAATGGCATCTGTTCAAGTCAGCTGTTGGGGTGGGGAGTGGACGGAGAGTGACTGACAGAAGGGGCGTGGCTTTCGTCGTCCACGGAAACAGAAAGGGACGTTGTAGGCCAAAACTGGTGACGTCATTCCCCGGATTATACGTGGCATTATCAGAAACTTTGTGAAGGAAATTAATTTAGGGGAGTGAACAAAGCGAGTGTTTGATGGGAGGAGCCTAGAGGGAATTTCGGGATATTGGAATGGTCTAATGAAGCCAGTTTGAGTCAACTGACTGCGAGTGGAGGTTCTGACGTGAGTTTGCAGCCTGTGGTCGGCGAGACACGAAACAGTGTTGAACAGACCGAGATAAGAACGTGTCAAAGCAGTGTGTGAGCTTTTGTAATAAAATTAAATGTTTCGAGAGTAATTAATTAATTGACACAAATTAGAACAAGTACGAAACATGAATCGGAAAATTTTCGAATCAGAATATTTTAGCATGTGCATCTAAATATAATTTAAGAGTCGCGTAATGAAATTTATAGTTGGTTCCGTAGGTCGTGTTCTGAATAAAATTGGAGGCTCGGTGACTGGGTGGGCCATACCACTTCTCTGACGCATCAAGTTAGCAACCTAACCTCACCTAACATAACCTAACCTAAACTAACCTAACCTAACCTAAGCTAACGTAACCTAACCTAACCTAAGCTAACGTAACCTAACCTAACCTAAGCTAACGTAACCTAACCTAACCTAAGCTAACGTAACCTAACCTAACCTAAGCTAACGTAACCTAACCTAACCTAAGCTAACGTAACCTAACCTAACCTAAGCTAACGTAACCTAACCTAACCTAAGCTAACGTAACCTAACCTAACCTAAGCTAACGTAACCTAACCTAACCTAACGTAACGTAAGCCATGAGAAAAGCAGAAGAACGACATTGTGTGTTGCGGTGCGCGTGTTGAAGCCCCTGGAGGTGCACGATGAGTGTTCTAGGAGGCTACAGCGGAACCTCCACGCCCTCAATACCCGGACAGCATCACCCAACATCGCTGCATCATCCCGTATCGTTGCACGGCCAAGATTCGTTCTACCATCACCACCAGGCGGCAGCAGCAGCGGCCTTTTATCACCAGCAGAACCCACATCACCATTATTTGCACCATTTGCACCAAGGTGAGGGCAACGTCTTGCGTATTTGTTCTCCATCATATCGATCGCTCTTACAACTATTTAGCCTTTCGATTCTTGGCGGAAAACTGCTTAATCATGAGCTTTAAAATCTGTACTCCTCCCCCAGTATTGTCAGGGTGATTAAGTCGAGAAGAATGAGATTGGCTGGGCATGTAGCGCGCATGGATGGGACAAGAGGTTGGGAAGCCTGAGGGGAAGAGATCTCTGGGGAGACCTAGACGTAGATGGGAGGATAATCTCAGGCGGAATCTATGGGAGATAGGAGTCGAAGGAGACTGGATTTTGTTGGCCCAGGACAGGGTCCGGTGGAGGGCTTTGGTTAGTTCGGTGATGAACCTTTGGGTTCTGTAAGCCATCTGGTTGGTTGGGTCCACTATTTGGGAAGCCTGAGGGGAAGAGACCTCTGGGGAGACCTAGACGTAGATGGGAGGATAATCTCAGGCGG